TACCATGGCTGCAAGAGTGGCTCAGCCCCAGTCTTCTTCTCAAGGATTATTGTGAAATTGCTACTGAAACTTACATTAAATATGAATTAGTTCAAATATGATGTAGTTCTACATCTTGTGTTAGAAGCAGCCTCTTCTGCTCTCACCTATGAAACAGAAAATCAGTGTTCCCAGTCTGTGTCACAAAGCAGTGTATTTTACTTTTGCCCATCTTTTGTTCCCAGGTGCAAACAAGACTTCAGACATTCATTTCTAGCCTGCAACAGAAAACAAGTGAGATTGAGGTTTTAGCAGTAAGTATTTGGCAGAAGCCTGACTTAATTCCACTCTCCATTGAAACAGATGCAGTTGCTATCTGGAACAAACTACTGCCCATCGCCTCACTTTAGAGATACCAAATGAACCAAACTTCTGGTTCAATAAGACCAGTGATACTTGAAAATTATCTCAAACTGTGCCTATGGAGCAGTTGCATAGAACAAAATTTAACAAGTATTTAGTTGTAAACTCTTAAGCTGTAATTACTGTGGTAGATCTAATAACTTGTTCCTGCTAGATTTGCTCCTACATTTAAACCAACACAGCTCTTGTTTGTATATAGCTTTTAGACTTCATTGGCCATGTCACAAATGACTTTAATATGGTATATGCTTTTCAGGAAACACACTGCCTGTTTGCCCACACCTGTCTGGAACTTTCCATAATGGAATCTGTCATGAACAGTTTGTTTAAAATTATTAAAACCCTTGTAAATCCTCAGTTCTATCTGCATGAATGCTTCTTTGGAAATCAAAGTGTACGGCTGATGTTTAGTTGGCAAACTGATAACAGAGAACTGTTAAGTATTGATTTCTTGATATTTTTACAGGTAGATCTGCCAAAAGCAACAATGATACACTTCTTATCGCTAGAGGTAGGCAATCAAGTATTGTGGTTAAAAGTCTAATTGAATAGATGATAAATTCTGCTCCTAATGAAGTGGAATGTAAAATTCACCTATTGCAGTTTTTCAAGGAGTTTGAATTAGGTTTTCAAACTTTTAGGATTTTTTTTTTTACTCAAGGAGCTTGATTAAGGATAGAAAAACTTTTTTGTCAAATGCCCAGGTTATGCAAGACAGCATTAGGAAGTCCTAATCCTAAGCTCTGCCGTTTTTCCCAGGAATAGTTAACTGTAATTGTCATTTTCAGAAACCAGTAAGTGTTAACAGCAGTTTCAACAAAGGTGTTTCTTGAAGCCCTTAACAAAGGAGGACCCAAAATACAGAGGCAATTGTTTTGAGTACAGTAGCTGAAAAATCTTAATGAAGCAAAGATAAAAAGGGGATGTATAAGTATTATATTGACACCATTAACAGTTTGGGAACTGCTCAGTGGGGAGCAGGAAGGGGATGACAACACCAAAGTCAAAGCTTTCTTCTTTCCTGTAATGTCAGCACTAGCTTTAAAGTCGGAAGCCCTTACTAGAGAGATGGTTGCCTCCCCACCTCATCATAAACCCAAAAAACTTAAGAATGGCATCCTGCCTGGAAGTGGATTTAGTACTTTCATACCTTTCATCTGCTGCTCTGAAGCAGTGCTTGTCTGGTAATCAAAACCCAGTGAAATGTTTGAAGACACTTTCAAAATACTTAGTTCATCCAATCTGCCCAAATTATGGAGATAGTTTATCACCTTTCACTTAAAAAATTTTTTTTCAATATATATGCATGGGACCAGATTGCATCAGTTATTCTATCCAGCACTGCAAAACTGATAGAGCCCTTTTCATTGCTTATGCCTTTTTAGCACCAAAATGTGTTAAGAAGCTGATCACTAAGTTCTTAATACACTTGCTTTAAAAAAATAATTAAAAATCAAGTTGCACATGTTGTTGACGTTCATATTCTTTGAAAGCTGTTTAATTAAGGAGCATTGACATTGCCCAGTATTCAGAAGACTGCATCCTACTGGGAGAGTGTCTCCTTCACAAGAGAATGTAAGACTATCTTATTTCCTTGTCAATTTTTTCCTCAGCTTGATGAAGGCAGACAAGCCTTTGATGCTACTGTGAAACAACTGATGTCACGATGGCCCAAGCAGAGATGTTCATACCTACAAGCAATTTGTGATGAAATTTACAGCATCAAAATAGAAAAGAGGTAAATTTTTTATGTTCTTACAGGTACATAAACCACCTCAATTATTTCTGCATTCAGACTTTACTAAAAAGCTGCTCCCCATTTATCCTCCTCTCTCCCCTGAGGGGAAAAAGAAATATTGAGGAAATGTGCAGTTCCTTGAAACCTATGGGAAGAGTTTACTGGTCATCTAACCCTCACTTACTAGTAAAATGTAAACTCTTGGCCATGTAAATTCTTCATATTTATAAGCCTTTTCAAGAAGCTCTAAAATGTATTGCCACTTTTATCTCACTTGCTGATAACAGCAAACTATAGTCAGGTACACTGCTATACACAGCAGATAAACTGCTATATATGTATAGTACACATGTATGTCTGGTGTGTGTGCATATATACACATATGTATAGTGTATATACATACATATGTATATATACTACATAATGACCCTCTTTCCTGGTGAGTGGGACTCAGCTTGCCTTTTGAAATTCATGAGCATATTTAACTCTTCCTGCTCTGAAGTAATATGATGGCAGTCTGGCACAGCTGACAGTGCCCAGCTTTAAGCAAGCATATGATGCACGTTCTCCCAACATGTATAGTTAAGTCCATTTCTATTTTCTAAGCATAAAAACACAGATGTTCAACTTGTAGTCTGTTGGTTTCTGGCAAGGCTGAAACAGATAGTGTGGACACATCCAGCACATCTGCTTTTCAACCTCTCATTTTCAACGGTTGTCGGTACTGGTACAGTTAAGTGAGACCTAGGGTATTTATGCCCTATTATGTGCTTCATTTGTAACACATTTTCTTAAATCTATATTCCACTTGAAGGTACTATTTAATCTTTAAATAAGGCTAAAACCTAATTTTAGTTCCTTTTTCTTAGAGATGCACTGAAATTGCTTCAGGTTCACTAATGTATGCTAAGGCAGCTAAGTATCGAGTGAAGCATTTTGTTTTCTTTCTTGGGGATTGCAAGGCTGTGAGCAACAGAATCCAAGTATTACATACAAATAATATTCCATACAGTGTTGGGGATGAATATGATGCAGCCCTGGACAGTCTTCCTTTCCCATTTGATGCCTGAGCAGTACTTAGCCGTAAGCCTTCAGATCACTGAATGAAAACTGAACAGGCTAGATCAGTGGGACGAGGGTGAAGGGGAAAATTGCAGTCACAGCCAAAGAAACTAAAACTGAGTCTCCACTCAGTCTTTGTGGTTATTGTGAAGATTTGTCATGGCAATTGTAGCTTTTGAACCTGCAGTTTCAAAGTTTTAAATTTCTCTTTTTTTGCCCCCTCTTTCTGCAGGGTTTCTGCACTTATCCTGTACAGTTACCGAGACGAATACAAGGTTTTATTTTAGTACCTGAAGCATCTTTTATGGGATACTTTCACTAATAGACCAGTGTTTTGTCAGAAGGAATTTCAAAAAGCAGTCATAATGCAAGACAGGCAACTAATGCCTTTTTCTGTGTCCAGACTGAATTTCATGTATAATGTAAAATTGTAAATTATGTCAAAACATGGAAATAAATGTTTTATAGACAGTTAAGGAGCAAGTCTGACTATAACCACATGTATGTATTACCATCTAATTCTTGCTCCTTATGCTACAAAAATCAGCTGCACTACTGTAAAACTACTTTTTTTAAAATAGGATGTCTTTTAAAACAACAGTAGTACTGCAACGAGAAACCTCAGCTGAAGAACTGGAGAGAATGAATTGTCTTCAACTCCAACAAACTTTTTTGAAGAGTTTTTATGTAATAAAAAGTTTAGCTACGGAGCCTTATTGAAATGTGCATTACAAGCTTTTTGTGTGTGGTTTTTGTTTATTTTTTAATAACCTGTTTTAGCCTGAAATCTACCATGTTTTATATATAAATTAAGAGTTGTTACAGTCTAGCTGCCTGTGCTTGACCTCTCTGTACTTCTGCATTACAAGCAAACAGCAGCTTCTGTGAGATGACCTGATACAGGAAAATCTTGTTTCAGACCTGCAGGACTTTAAAGAGAAACAGTAACCTGCATGTGCTTGAAAAGCATAACGAAAGTTTTGAACTAGCTTTCTTAATCTTAGTAATTATAGGAATCTTATAATTACCTTCTCGAGCTGAACTGTAACACAGCCCCATCAGGAAAAATGAAGCTGAGAAAATCCAAATATGATTTACAGCAGCCATAGTTAACTATGCATTATATTTCACATCAAAATACTAGTGTGAATATGCAGAAATGTTAGGGATTTCTGGAAATATACTGGTGTTTACCCTCCCTCTCCACTTGGTACCCTGTTTAAACAGGTTACACCTCTTTCTTTCTCTTAATTCAAATGATTGCCATTAGCACTGCAGCCTCATTACCTTAAGAAATAATTACTACTTTTTTCTACTGTTTTCTTGTAGTAAAGAGGAGGGCAGAGTTAAAATAGGCAACTTTAAAAACAAACCCCAGAACTTCTGAGAACCGTGAAAGTTTTAACAGCAGCATGTAAAGCAGCAGAGTCAATCCTAATGGCACAGATAGCTCTGCCGTTCATAGCAATTCACCAAGACAAGTCACATCAGTTATTACAACCAAATCCATTTCTCACCATGTTTAATAGGAACAATTAAGTATTCACCTTTTACATCTGCTCACACGAAGGAAAATTCAGATCCCTGAATATATTAAAGGATGAAGTTTTAAAAAAAATAGTAAAAGTTTCGGTGACATGAGCATTTTTAAGCAATGTCTGAAGGGAACATGATGCAGAGTCCTACCCTCCCCCCACCCTGAGCCAGGGTCAGCACAGCTGGATCAGCATGGAGTGAAGGCACAGCTGCCTGGCTCTACAAGAGCTCAAGCAGTGTGCTGACTGCTTTAGGGATATGTGCACTGCACCATGGACACACGTCCCTCAAAATAAGACAGAAACAGGAAAGCAGCTGTTCCTGATAATATGTTGGCACCTGCTTTCCCTAGTATTACTGAGGCTCATCTATAAAACTGAGCATCTCCTGCTCCAGTCTTATTTTGTTTCTGGTATGGTGCATTTCTCTTCAGCCTGTGTTACCCCCCAAACAGGTTTTACACTGTCCACTCGTATAATACAAAACAAACAGCAGCAGCCTAAGAGCAAAACGTTTGGCAGCTGTGTGTAAAGCTATGTCAGTATAACCCTGTAAATACTCCTGCTGTACAACAATCCAAAGAACGCACCTCTGCTCTCAGTTTAAACAAAGGTACTGATGACATCTCAGTCTCCTGCTGTAAGGAAAGCCAAAGTGTAACTCAAAAAAAGAAATGGACTTCGCTTTGAGCAAGGGTCAAGTCTATAATAGTGATGGTAGGACACTGTTCTGTCACTGTGTTGCTTTATTCTTCTTGGTTTTGCTTTTCTTGTCTTTTTTCTTCAAGCCATCCATGTTAGCTCTCAGCAAATTTGAATATGCCTGAAACAACAATTGGAACCATTAAAAAAACTTCGAATACTTACCTGACAATGGACGAGGTAACATCGTAGGTATGACTAATGGACAGTTATTTGCATTTTCTCAGACAGTCATGCTCTCACACCCCACACTGGGAAACCTATGTTTCTAAACAATGCACAAAGTTAGATACATCAGAATTTTTTTAACAGATGCAGATGGATGGGTAGCCTAGGCTTAATCTATATGACAGTTCATCACAGAATCGACCTGTTCACAGCTTCCAACTGACCACTCCCCAATACCTACAGAAAAGGAAAATAAAAGGTATACAAAACTTACCATCTGGAATTTATTTACTTCCTTTGAGCTCACCTACAAAAGTAATACAGGAGGTTAACCGAGAAAACTCTGGCTTCCGTGACAAACCAAATATGACTACATGTTTATCCACCCGTTAGCATCTAGTTTTTTTAGCAGCAACTAATCACATTCAGGGTTTGACAGGCTGTCCTGGTATGTCATGGGACTTCACTGATTTAGAAAACTGAAAACACTCCTTACTTGATGAACAAAATCCTCTAGAGGCCATTCATCTCTAATCCATGTGTTTTCAAATGGAAAGAATGAAGAAATCTTCAAAGGAATGTTTGACTTGTCAGGCCATCAGACTGTTGCAGCCCAGATATTTCTCAAAGTAACATTTCTCCTTGTGTTACATCACAGAGGAGAGCTAAAGCAGCTAAAGCCTTTCTCAGTCCCCCAAACTAAACATGCATCAGGTTTTCAACTTTACCTAAAATACAAATAGTTCTGTAAAATGAGAAAGAATAATTTTGCTTAATTTTGTATACTAAGCAAAATTAAGGCTTAGAAGATTCTACCCATGCCCTCACATCCTTGACAGAAAACAAGGATCCCTTCTGTAATTCCATCAGGGTCTATAGGGAACTACCTCTGTCACCTGAGGCTTGAGTGTAGGTGTGCAGGACCTTCTTGGAGCCACACCACCTGTCCTCATACTGCAGGTTCTGTATCTGCCCTGTGTCTTTCTGCTCATGTCTCTAGAAGCAGTTTCACCCTTCCATCCAAACAATTTCACCTGACTCCCAACAGCCAAGGTTGCTGAAAACTAGCAGAGTCCTTTTCTGCTGTCCTACAAGACCATTCTGGAGCAAAATCCAGCATACAAAGCAAAAATATAAACTACTGTCCCATCTGTAATGCTGAGTGTAAGCTATTAAGACTTCAGGTAAGTGTAACACTTCAGCATCCCAACTTCAGCTGTGTTGTTTAGCTGCCACAGGGTTTCTGTGCAATTAAAAGGGTAGTTCTTAGTTTTCATGAGATTCATGTAAAGGTATATTTCACTTAAAATATGGAGCATTAAACAAGAGAGATAGGGGCACTAATCTTTCTAACCCAAAGTTGTCACTTACCACTGTGCTAATTTTCTTCTTTCCATCAGTTGCCCTTAGAAGACACTTATTGTCTGCTGGTTCAAAACTTTCTACATGGCCTTTGCGTGGGACTGGTTTTGTTCGCCCATCATCTGTGTGGAAAGAGAATGTTTATTCATATTGCATTAAAATGCTTCCTGACATGTTAAAAAATGCTCAGAAGGAGATCTGTAAAACACCCTGGAATTTAAGGCCATCTGAACTGACAATGCTGCCAGACTGTTCTCAGACCCCACACTCTGTAACCCCAGAAGAATCTGTTCCATGAACTACATCTGCCAGAAAACATTAAGTAAACCCTTGCCCCAACATGCTGTATGAAACCACCCCAGCAGCAGAGAGTTGGAAATGCATGTCATCCTGCAGCCTCTGGCACTTGGCTTCCTGGGGACTGTCAGCTAGCTAGGAACTAGAGTAAGATGAACACACAAAAGCAACACTAAAATTCTCCTTTTACAGAAATCAAATTATTTCCAAACGAACGAATTATTACAGCCAGTCCCAGTATTTCCTGCAGTCTGAAATACAGCCTTACTCCAAGGTTACCTGGAGTAACCAGCTGACTGATTTGTCCCTATACCTCCTGTCTCCAGATACTCCAGATTACAGCTGTTATCTTCTAAACACCTACCGACAACACTCAAATTAAGAGAAACACCTCTTTAATCCAGGAACAGCTTGAAAACTTACATTTCTTCAGCGTTATGAAAACACTCCCGGAAGTCCTGCACTTCTGGAAGAGCCTGGTGAGCTCCGTCAGGAACTGCGGAAGAAACAGACCACACACAAGCGCTGAGAGCGGACCCGCCAAGGCAAGCGCTGAGGGGAGGCGAACACTAACCGCAGTTCCAAACCCGCACACCTCCCTCAGCCGAGTGGGCGCGCACAGCGATGCTCAC